GCGGATGATTCTCCCCATTATGTTTTTACAACTTCTGTCACGAGGAGAGCTCGTTTTTATTGACCGTCTAATTACTCGGACGCTGGTGCATGCCTGATGAACGGATAGCGTGCCGACGATTAACTAAACGACAACGACGTGTGGCAGTCAATCTGGTCGTAAAACTTGTCCAGGGAGTGTAAATATTAACTCTTCGATGATGAAGTGATTTCACCTGCGGCCAGCCGTGTCAGAAATTTTAACTACGAGTAAGGTATAAAACTTGCATCGGAGAAATTGAAGTGTAAAAAGTAAAAAAAAAAAAAGAGAGAAAGAGAATAACAAAGAGTAGAAAATTATTTAGTAAAATTCCTCTGAAAAAAAATTACGAGTTTGTCGTTGTATTGGTGACAATGAAAATACGATCGATCGCACCAGCGAAAGTCGTTGAAAATTCTCGGTTTCTCGGTCAAAGAGTCTGTTCCGTAATAGGGCTATTCATCTGACGCAACAAGGCCTGGTATTATTTCATCTGTGATTTCTCTTTCTTTTTTTTTTCATCTGCCGCCACCGTCATGAAGAGGATTCCTTCACGGCGTTTGCGGTGCAGACTAACCGCGACCTTGGGAGACACGTAGTGCAGAATTTCGTGCACGCGATATGCGCCGGGGAGCAGAAAGCCAGGTGCTCGCCGGAGCGTGTGCGGTTGATGGTAATGAACTTTCGCGAGGCAAGGCCGCCAGGATGATTTCATAACGCGCGCGCAATGACTTTGCTCTCGCTCGCCTGGCCTCTCTCTTCCTCGATCCTATCGCTCTCTCTCCTCTTTTCTTTCTCCGAGACCGCAACAACTCGTTGTACGAGCCGTTGAACGCACGCACGAGCGGCAAGGAAAGAGAATCGTAAGACTTCGTGATAAAAGAGAGAAAAAAAAAAAAGAAAAGAAAAGAAAAGAAAAGCTCGATCGAAGGATCAAGGGAGAGCTAAACAGCGAGGAGAACGTTGACTTATATAATGAATCGTGTGTCTCTGAGGATGAATAAGATCTCGACCTCGATTACACCGTTCCTACGCGAACCGTATGAATTTTTCCTCGCCGCTCGAGGCGAGATCGCCATTATTGTTACGAGAGATAAAAAGCAAAGGCCGTCCGTTTGTCCTTGGTTAATTACACGCCATGGAATTCCGTGGTCGAGGAACCTGTACGTGTGGAACGAAACGACCGGAACTTTTCCTCTTCGTTGAGTGCGTGCACTTTGTAACTATCTGGACAGTTTGATCAATTTATAGGGAAATTATATACGTGAATTTTTCTTTTTTTCTGAGATGTTAGATCTCGGTAATGAGCGAGTTAATGAGAAGAAGCGGCAGTGATTTACTTATTTTTTTTTTTTGTGGATTGTAGATTATAGATTTGAATGATGTATTAGAAACCTTGCCAATGGTTACGATGTAATTGGCCAATTAAAGATCAAGCGATAATTCATCGGTGACATTATAAACACTTGAATCTCTTGAAATTTCGTGAAATTATAGATGGAAGACATAACGATGCATTTATTAGTCCCAATAGAAAAAAAAGGAATATATATATAAATCGAAATTAAATTACGTGTTTCGAAAATCAGCAAATGTCCAGATACTCTTAAACGAAAGTGCACGCGAAATAAACGGAAAATCGTTCTTAGAATCCATCCTTACGGTAACAGAAATACTCTGACAGCTAGTAATCCCGTTATTCCATCGACTTATTCCACTTAATTCGTTCCAGCTCCTTAAATCGATCGTAACTGGACCACAGGATGAACAGGTCACTTTTTCCCCCAACTTCTTCCGCACACGAAAATTGAATCGGCACGGGCGAAGAAACCGGTAACTCCAATATCTCCTGTCCTGAGCGAACAAATTTATTTATTCCAACCGTACAAGAAGTTCCATCGTCGCAGCTGTCGTTTTCTTCATCCATCGGTAATCTCGGCGAGCAGAGACATTGTAACGGGTTCTCAACAGCCGTCTCCGACCATCTAACTTCTTGCCACTTAAGGCAAAAAGAAAGGGGGGGGG